CATAAAGCTCAGCTGTTCACCACTTTCCTTTCACTCCGTGACTCTCACTTGCACTTCTCTGGCTGGGCCCTCACTCTCCCCTTGCCCTGCACTGTTTCCTTTGAGCACCACCTGGCATATGTTCGCTCTTGTTCCCTTCTCTGTCTCTCTCTTCCCAGAGGGATTTTGGTCTGGTTTGATCCCTGCTGCACTCTCACTTAGAACAGTGTGTGATAACAGTGGTGGCATATACACTAAATATTGGCTGAGCAAATGGACAAATGAAAAACAAATAGTGCCTGTGGCCAGGAAGAGACAGGAAGCTGAGCTGGATCATTTGGAGAATGGCTCTGGAGATGCACACACAGTTTGTGGGCTCCATCTTGTTCTTGAAAGCAAGCTGTTTCTTGCCACTCTTGCTAACACACCTTATTTTGAGGCAGCCTTCCACTAGATTAGGTCTGCACATTTGAAAATGCACATGCTGGAGCAACAATCCCCTCCCCCACCTCTCCCGGCTCCTTTGAGGTCAACAGCAGCAGCAGAACTACCTTTGCTCATTTGGACATTTCTGCCACATCCAAGAACTATTCCTAACAATTTTTCAATAGTGGCCTCATCCCCCATGCTCCAAGTCCAGTGATGACTCCATCACTGCTCTTAGTGAGGCCCCAGTTCACCATAACTCAGGAACTGTGACAATACAGAACCAACAGCTTCAACCCCTAAGATCCCATTCCTCATGTGGACCCAGGTGATATCACAAGCAGCAGATCACAACTCCCAGTGGAGTAGGTGCTACTCGTTGGCAGTCAGGCCTGGGAACTCCTTCAGCCACCTGCTCTGCTCTGCTCTGCTCTGAGAATATCCTCTGGGAACCTAAAGACACTTTTCTTCCCTTACCATGCTGTCATGCTCCCTGTCTGAAGCCAAGACAAGACCTTCAGGGATATGTGGCAAAAAGGATTGGACAATCACCCTTCTCATGGCCATGCCCAGGCACTCCTCCAAGCACTGCAACCTCATTCAAGGCTCTGGCTACCACCACGTTCTCAGCACAGAGCTGCAGCTGATTCTCTGAAGGTAGCTCTCAATCTGAAACTGCAGGCAGCTGGCAGACACACACCCCAATTTCTTCAGCACAGATCAGGTCTCCCAGAGGTCACCAGTGCAAATGAGCTCCAAGCACCCACAACAGCAGTTTATATTTTAACACATCCCTTATTGGCTTCCCTTTCTGCCCCGGTGCACTCTCCATACTGGTGTGCTGAAACCCCTGACTTGGGCTGACTTCTTGGAGAGCCTAAGATATCTGGCAAAGATATAAACTCTACTGCACTGGCAATCACTGATAGGCACAATCACATGCCCATGCCACCTGGACCACACTGCACCCCAGGAAATCTTGTGTTTCTGTCCCCTTCAAAGCTCTGGCACCACTCACAGGGTGATGGGAATGTGTGAAAGATACAGGAGGAACACACGGAAACGTACCCTTGCACAGTCAGTGAAAGGAAATGGCTGATACTCCATGCTGATGTGAAACTGCAGGGACAACAGAAATATCTTTAAATATATTTATCAGAAGATTTCCATCACTGCTACAGAATTTTCTGGCCAAGCTACTCAAAAGTGAGTAAGCTCAGAAAGACTGGTGCTATGGCTCCCTGTCACCCAGGACAAGGTGGCAGAGGGCTGACATAGCAAAGCCTTTGATTCTACCCAAAGGGAGAAGTCGCGTCAAGTTGTTCTTTATTGCTACTCATTTTGAACAAGACTGAATTTAGAAAAGAAGCTTGAACTGAGGTTTTAGGTGAGGCAGAACAAAGCAAGGAAGAAATTACTGGGATCAGCATCGGGCAAAGAGGCATTTACTAACAGCTGTCCTCTGCTCAGAGGACCCAGCCAGCTGGCTGGCAGCTCCCTGGCTGGCTCTCCATCTATCACCGGAATAAAGCAGCCCATTCCAGAAATGATGCAGAGATAGCTATTTTGCAGTGACCCAGCCTCCTCGAAGCACAGAAAATGCATTATATCTCAAAAGCTATTAGTAACTCATACGTGGATGCCAATATCAAACTGAAACAGAGTAAGAAATATGGCAGTCACGTCCGTGCGCTTCACCGAAGTAAATCAATGCCCCTTTACAAACTGTGGCTTCCACAGGGAGATGGCATTTTAACCCCTCCCTTCCTTAAAAAAGCATCAACACCCCCAATCCCTGCATTAACGAACCGATAGATTCATCTAGTGCAAAGAACATATTGAGAGCTGGAATCTGGCAGAAAGAATCAAGTTGGGCATCTCCCAAAATTTCCAATAAAAGAGTATAAGAAAGTCAGGATGTGACTAAAATCAAACCTGTCTGCTACTCACTGTGCCAAATTTTTTCCAATGTTTCCTAGGTTGCAAATACAACTGAATTCTCTTGCTGTTATTAGCATCTTTGTGTAACACTGATCTACCCTTGTCTCTCCTAGAAATTCCTACATCATCCCCTCCTCCTCCTATCTTGTCTGCTAAAGGCATCTGAGAAGTGTTGACTTCACGCACAATGGGGAACAGGAACTCTTTTACATGACAGAGTGACAAACACATCCTATATGTGGCAGGGATGGGGGCATCTGGGTGGATTCCCTCGAGGACTGGGAACTGAGTAGACCTCAGGTGCCTAGAAGGAAGCTTCATGTGAATGTCCCATATAGGAAAAAGTCAGGCTGGAGAGACATAGGTATAGACAGGCTACTAGAAAAGAACAACCAGACATAAGAGCCGGTGATCCCACAGCTCTATAAGCAAAAGGCTATGCTTCCTTAAAACCACTGAGTTTCCGGTCATTGACCCTGCTTCAGTATATGTCCGGCACTGCATCTGTGACTGGACTAGGGATTCTCTGTAACCATCTATTTCTCACTGTGGGCATGCAAACCATATATTCAGAAGTAGTCCCATGTCCTATTTCTCAGACAAACTAAAGCAGAAAAGAAGGGAACTTCAACGGAGTCCGTGGGTGTGGTCAATGGGCACAAGGGAAGAAGAAGAAAAGGGAAAATTATTGAGTTCATGGGGAGATTCTGTGCCCTCCAAGTGGATCAGGCAGGGGAGTGGGCAGATGATACCTGAGGGCCTGTCACCCTGATGACAGGTATCAGGCAACTACTGCTTTCTTTTTGCTCCTTGGAATTCAATTATAATGTGGTAACTCCCTGTTACATTGAGAACATTGGAATCATCAAGCATGTCTTGGAGTTAACAGTCTCATACTTAAACCATAAAACCCATCATTGTGATTCTACCATATTAAAAAATCTGCTTTTGATTTCCATTGGGAAAAAAAGCCACATTGGGAACTACAAAATACACTAACATTTATTAGTAAAACCATCATACCATTCAGCTCTAAGCAGACATCCTCATCGCCACGACTATGAACATACAATCATCACACTATGCACACTATGTATAACAGAGGGTTTCTCACTAACTGTCAAGTTGCCATCTGCAAAGAAGAAATCTCAGACTTAGTGATAGTGGAGACAGTAGTAATTATGTCTAAAATTTACACCCACATTTGTTCAATGCTACCTTTTGCCCTTAGGCAATCAACCACAGTGTACCTGTTACTGTTCAAATTGTTGCTGAGAAAAAATTGTAACCCCCAGTAACTCAGCATGTGATTGTATTTAGAGATGGTTTCTTTACCAGGGTGATTAAAGTAAGATGGCTGGGTCCTAATCCAGCCTGAACCTTATGAAGAGATGAGGATGCAGGTACATAGAGGGGGACCACGAGAAGCCATAGGGAGAAGATGGCATCTGCAAGCCTCAGAGACAGCGTTGGAAAACAACAGCCTTATTCACATCTGGATCTCAGATGCCTGGCCTCCAGAACCATGACAGAACACATTGTTGTCATTTAAGCTGCCCATAAGGAGGTAACTTGTTATGGCAGCCAAAGTTTGCTCACTTCCTAGAAAAAGATGACCTACTGCTCAAAATTGGAAACTCCCTTGCTTCCCTCATGCAATAGGGAGCAATGGCCTCTAACTTTAGACATACTCCCAAGCTCAGCTGTCAGAAATAAGAAGCAGAGAGTAGCAGCACACCAGATGGGGAAATACTTCCAGACCCAAACAATAATACAAGAGAAATGTGACCACCTTTGGCATGGGCAGGAAAAGAGCTAAAAGTACATAAAAGAACCCTTTTGTCACAGCTAATGTCTGGTGAAATCATCAGGTGGTTCAGGAGGACCACAGGGGCACCACAAAGGGAAATGGCTCTCTACATTTGGAAAGTTCCAGATCCCATCTCCTCCCATCTTGGATTAATGGCAACAGTCAGCACTAACCTTTTTACCATAACATATAACTTAGGGGGAAGAGATGTTCCAGGTTTCCTTACATGACAACATGTTTTAACAAAGAGTTTTGTTGCTTCAAGGTATACTTCCCCTAGATACCTGTCCGTTGGGCACTTGTTCTGGCTCTTGGTTTATTGATGAGTCTCTGACCTTTTGTCCTCAGGAGAATAACTATTAGAACTACCTTTAACTACATGTTCTTTTGTTGCGTGTGCAAATTCACAAGCTCCTATGAACAGGTAGGGATTAGTGTCCTCAATGCCCTCAGCCATGTTTGTAGCAGAACTCTTCCAAATCCAAGTAGGAAACCAATCAGTAAGAATTTAGGTCCATAGCTGTGCACTCCACAGGACAGCACCTTCTGCTGTGGATCATAATGGTCACCATCCAGGGAGCAGAGGCAACACCTTAGCAAACCGCATCATGCGCCACACACAGAAACAATGCTGTGCACCTTGCACGCACAACCCTCCAGATGTGATCATCTTAGGCAGCATGCTGGGCAACTCAGAGAATAACTGCAGATGAAACGAAGTTGTCTCAAAGGCCTGGTTACAAAGAAAGCTTCATCAGAAGCTGTTTTCCCAAGTTAATGTAACCAGCATTCCTGCAAAGCATTCAAACATGATTGATTGTTTCCTTCTGTCATCAGGGCTTACCTGTTGTACAGAAGAATGTCTGGTTTCCAAATCTGGCCATCAGGGAAACGAACCGTCTTCACGCCCGGGTATTCTGACATATTCCATTGCAGATAGTGATCTGTCCAAGACTGACACATAAGACAATGACATTAGCAGTCACTTGCTTCCTTGAATACTAATACTTCTTATAAGAGATTATTAGGTAAACTCAAAGCCAGAAAAAGCTCCAGATATTTATTTATATAACTGAGTTGCTATCTGAATGATATAAGGGAACTGGGAATTACATAATTCCTTTTGAAATAACCATGAATAGCATAAAAATCACATTCAAGGTCCTGCTGTCTCTGTGACCACATTCAGATGAGAGCATCAAAGTGAATTCCAAACCCCTGCATGTGCCAAAGTCCTCCCCTCCTGCAGCAGATGGGAGACTTCTGGACAAATGAATAACTAGTCTGCTTACCAAACCCTCACTGTAGGATATTTTAAAAATAAATTCACTTATTTCAATTGTTATAAGAATGAGAGGTTACCGAATTATAAAATATTTTCAGGAAGCACTGCTGTGTAGCTCCATGGTAACCTTTTGGTTACTTGGTAGGGGACATTCTCAGATTTGACTTCTTAGTTTGTTGCAGGGATAGCACTTTGGATACCACCACCTTATGACTCAAAGAGGGTCTCAAGTGATGGAAAACTAAGGAATCAGAAGACAATGGCCTATGTGAGGACCCAAGAAATGGACAGGGTCAGCTTCTTATGGGTGGATTCCTGAGTGACCAACGCCAGAGGAAGGCATGGTCTTGGGGTCCTTGTTTCCTAGATTGCCAATTCTGTGGGGCAGCTGGGCCATTCTGGCTGGCATCTCAACAGCTCCCACAGGGGTTCTATAACCAGTCTGCCATTCAGTCATCCAGTCTCCTGAGACCATCCACACTCTGGAGCTGACTTGCTGTGATTTAGAAAGTTGCATGATTGGACTTGGTGTGGTAGCCTATTGGTTTAAGTCCTCGTCTTGAACATGCTCAGATCCCATAAAGCCAGCGGTTCTAACCCGGCAGCCCTGCTTCCCATCCAGCTCCCTGTTTGTGGCCTGGGAAAGCAGTCTAGAATGGTCCAAAGCCTTGAGACCCTGCACCTGTGTGGGAGACCCAGAAGAGACTCCGGGATCCTGGCTTCATATTGGCTCAGTTCCAGCTGTTGCGGCTGCTTGGGGAATGAATCAAGGTCTTCCTCTCTGTTTCTCCTCTTCTCTGTATATCTGACTTTGCATTAAAAATATATAAATCTAAAAAAAAAAACATGTTGCATGATCATAACACCCCAGGTCAGGACCACAGTGATTCCCCATGACCAATCACATAGGTATTTTTTGTAGCATCATATACATAGTTACACTGAGAGACAAATAAATGCTTCAATCACATCTATTTCAACTTAATATTACACAAGATGAAGTCAAAGTTACAAATTACATCAAAGGCATCAACATTTCAGATTGTTTACTTGAGATTCAGAAATTACCCATGAGGGATTATGGGCCTAGGGCTATTTCACCTAGAGGCAAAGCGTACAAGGGCAGATGCCTGTGGTCTGACACCCAGATGAGTGACATCACCTTACAACCAGGGGCCTTGGAGAACAAGGCGTATAAAGGGGAAATGTGAGGAAATACCATGTGGTACATGGGAGACTGAGACCTGTCTTGCTGGGGTTCCCAATTACACAGGAGTAACTGGAGGGCAAAGTACTGAGGGAGTATCTGCTGTTCAAGTTGTTTTCATCAGCCAGACTATGTTTATCACAGCCTGCTCTGCCATGGTACCCTGGGCCTCATGACTCCAGATATCCTCCCCCTTGTTCTAGCACAAAGCCCTTGCATAGGCAACATCTGTGTGCCATCTTCATCACCATCCTGAATCTCCTCTTGGGAGACTTCCCTGGGCTGGTGATGATCATGCCAATAAAAGTATAAACTGCCTTGAAATTGGGCATCACAGGCAAACCCTCGTCTCTGCTATCTGCTGAGATGATGGCCATTTGAGGGACAGCAAGAAAGATGAATGTTCAGTATGTTCAATGTAGAGCTCTCTAATGGTCAACCCATAGAGCTACACACTGCCTACCAACAGCCACATTTTGTCCTGTCTTGTGTATGAGCCCAGCTTTGTGCACCATGCAGGCTTAGGCCCTGATCATTCTGCTGTCTTAGTATTTGGAATAAGCCCCACATCACCACAACCCAGGAGTGATGTGGTGGTGAGAAATAGTAGTCTGTTTCTCAGCATGACAAGACAGAGAGGATGCTGTGCTTTTAGTCAGCCAATGAGTCAGGATTAGGCTGTTACCATTCAACTTTTAAGCAAAATAGTCTTTGGGCTCCTCAGAACTGATTCTTCCAACAAGATTTCTGCATCAGAAAACCTCCCACCATGACCACATAGGCTGCACATTGTCCCTGAAAGTATTATCCATCTACTCACACTACTATCCTTTACTCCAAAGCCAAGCATCTGAACCTCAGGACCCAAAGATGGACTACAAAAAGCCTCAGGATGAGATAGATATGGATTTCCTTCACAGTTCTGGCAAAGTCTCAGTGTGAGAGCTTGAACAAATGAATCACGCTCACTGAGCTGTAGCTTCCTTGAGTCACCTACCTTTTCAGTACAGTGCTATGAAGGAAAAAAAAAATGAGATCATACATGTAGCAGGTTTGGCACAAGAGTTACCATGCCACTTGGGATGTCCACAACCTATTTCAGGAGCTTGGGTTCAAGTCTGTGCTCTGATTCTGAATCAGGATTCTTGATAATGGGCACCTCTAGAGATAGCAGGTGACAGCTCAAGTACTTGGGTCCTGCTACCCACATGGCACACAAGACTGAATTCTGGGATCCTGGCTTTGCAAGCATTTGAGGAACGAACGAGCAGAAGAGAAATCACTCTAGCTCCTTCCAAATAAAATTTTTAAGTGCCCGGGTTGTCTGGCCCAGGTCCTTGGGCCTGCCTGTGTAGTGGGAGCTGGGTCTGTGAGCCCTGGGGAAGGGAGTCCAGTGGAGCCCAAGTTGCCTGGCATGGTCCTTGGGCCTGCCTTGCGAGTTGAGTGCCAGGTCCATGAGTCCTGGGGGTGGGGGTTTGGCAGGGCCCAGGAAGCCTGGGCCAGGTCCTTGATCCTGCCTTCAAGGTGGGTGCCAGGTCCTTGAGCCCAGGGGTGGGGATTCTGGCAAAGCCTGGTCTGGGTACTGGGGCCTACCTGCGGGGTGGGTGCTTGGGTCTGTGAGTCCCAGAAGCAGGAGGTTCAGCAGGTCCCAGGCTACCTGGCCCAGGTCCTTGGGCTCACCTGCACAGTGGATACCAGGCCTGTGAGCCCCAGCAGTGGGGGTTCTGGCAGATCTGAGTCGCCAAGCCCAGGCTTTTTGGCCCACCTGTGAGAATTGTTCCCCCTCAGTAGAAAAGACAGAGTAGTGGATGGCTGGCTCAAATTCAGAGAGGACACTGCAGCCCACGGGACTGCAGAAGACATGTGTTATCATAGCAGTGGAAAGAGACACCTCCTGCAGCCCAACAATGACAGCAAATATCTGGGCAATTGGAGACTCTAAGGTGGCAATGTCACCCAATGGGCATTGAAAGTGTTCTCTCATCTTTGGATTGGCAAGACTGACAACATTTCAAAACTATAGAAACTACTTGGCAGAATCCTCAGAGCATATGCCACATTAGGATCCTGGGTCAATATTGGGTGTCTATTCCTCATCCCTGGGTGCTGGGGTGTCTGGCCTCTCCCCTTGTCCTCCCCACCCCCAGATACAGGAAAAAGAAACAGAAAACCTGGAAATAATGACCATTCCCTCCCTGATCAACTGTAAAAGCATCATTTAAAATAAAAATACATGTGTGTATACATACTCATGAGGAAGTATTTACAGGGGAAGGAAGAAGAAAAGTGTCTTTGCTTTTAAAATAGCGTATTATGAAATAACAAGAAATGTGTGTGGTCTTTGTGGCACAGAGCTCCTAAATTTCTAAATGTCTTGTCTTAGTCATGAATAGCCTTTTGGACCACTCCTGAGTTTATCCTAATGAGGCAACTTAAGTTTGGGAACCTAGATAATTTAAAGTTAGTGGTCTGGACACCAGAAGTCTGGGTAGGTGATTAGAGGAGGGGGACTTTCAGCTCCACTCCACCCTATCTCCAAAGAGAGACAGTGGGGCTTCTGACTTGTGAAAGCTCTTAAAAAATGAGGTGGCAAGAGCTTCCCAGCAGGTGTACACAGGAAGTGCTAAAAAGACCCTGTACCACTGGAGACAGGAACTTCTATGTTCCTCCTGATCCCTTGTCTTATAGATCTTGTCCATGTGGCTCATCTGAGTTGTATCCTTTATAACAAACCAGTAAATATAAGTAATGTGTTTTCCAGAATTCTATGATTCTTTGTAAAAAAAAAAATTACTGAACTTAGGGAATGGGGAATTATGAGAAACCCTGAATTTGTGGCCAGTTAAAAGTATATCCAGGTAATCTGAAGTCTGAAGTAGAAAGGGCAATAGATTCATGCTGTGTAACTTCAAGAAGAAACTGTCAGAATTAAACTGAACCATTGAACAACCAGTTGCTACTACACAATTGCTCTTTAGTACTGAAGAAGACATCTGAAAAACCACACACATTTACTCTTTGAAAATCCTTTCAGTCAACTATTTTGATCTCAATGTAAGAAACTGGGGCTTCCTTCATACCTTGTCCCCAAACCTCTTTTACTTCCTTCAATGACACACAGTGATTGAAACACTACCCTTATCCCCTTGTGGTGCTATCGTGACCCCGTGACCCTCGGGAAGTAAGCCACTGGCCAGCTTTTCTGTAACATGTGGCCTTTTCATGTATCATAGTTGAAGTATCAAGGGACACAAAAATGGCAAGGTCAACATGTTGGAAATAACAATGTGTTATAATCTAACCTTCTAGAATGCTAAGGCTATTAGCATCATAATGAAAATCAGGGAAAAAAAATAAACATACCCCGTAAAAAAAAAATAGGACAAGGCTGGAAAAATCTCCTCCTGTAAATAGTACTACATGACTATGTACACACACATGCATTTTAAAAAATTTTATTTCAAAGGCAATGGAGATTTCCTATGTGCTAGTCCATTGCTCAAATGCCTGCAACTGTCAGGGCTGGGACATGCCAAAGTCAGGAGCCCACAACTCCAAGACGACAGTAGCAGGAACACATGTACAGAAGAATAATAGAGATATGAAAATAAGAGAAAATAGACTTTTTAAAACACAGGTGCAAGTTGATGAATATCTCTTTAGAAACAGAAATGGTTTCTATCCAGTTCTTCCCACAGATGGGGATAGACTGTGTCTGATGGATTCATCTGCAGAACAACTGCCAACCATTTCCTCCTGGGAGCAGGAAGAAGTAATTAGATGAGCAGCTTTCTACTTTTTCCGATTATCCCAGTATCTGAAAGTTGGGCAGCTGGAAGAAAGAAATAAAAAAACAACAAACTGTAGAGGAAAAAGTTTATTTGCATTTGTTTATTTACTGCTGCTTACAATCTGAGTGATTGAAAAGTTGATCATCTGCAGAAAACAGACCTCAGAGTTTCAAAGCCCTGGAGAAAGATGATGTGGATTCAGATATTTGGAGCAGTCACCAGCAACAGTCACAACTGGGGGTCTTTTCTGTGGCTCTCTGTTGACCTCCTGCCGTATTGCTGGTTTCTTTCTGAACTCTGGCCCTGCTACCTTTGAAACTGAGCTTCACTTCTTGTAAATATCTGTTATTCTGACTGGGTCATGCTGAGCTGGTCTCTGGCCAGGAAACACAAGACCAGGAATCAATAGACAGCTGTTTAGCAATGGCCCCTGAGCAGCTTCCAGGCTGCCCTGGGCGAGCTCTGAGCTCCCTAGATTTTTCAGACTGACATACCAGACAGTGACAGCAGGCACATGAGATTTTGGTTAGAAATTTACCATTTACTTCACACCCAAGATCCTTCTAATCTGTGCAAAATTCAGTTGGGAGGAAGTGCTATGTGCTGTGATTGCTGTGTGATTGCCAGAGGCCACTTCCCAGGTGAATTGCCCAGCTTTCCTAAAGGCACAGCTAAAAGGGAAACCAGCATGCTTTTCATGCGGCAGACATCTGCAAATGAGCATTAATTAGTGAATTCCCACTTTTTTCCTATTCAGAAATCTGTGCCTTGGCTCCGCTCTCAATTCCATACTGTGTGCTCCCCACTGTCCAATCACCTGCCTGTCCCCTGCAATATCTCTAGGGAACTACTTTGGTTTTTGGTCTTGCTCTGTTAACTTTTTCTTTCATTTGTTAATTACAGAGCCTGACTGTAAATAGCTTTGAAGTAGAAACTTGCTGTTATATGCTGCTCAGAGCCCTAATGGCCTTATTCAATAATCTCCAGATAGCAGGTGCACCAAAAGATGAACTAAACGGGTAAATGAGATGAAAAGGCCAGTTTCCAAACAATTGAAGTTGTAGATGCTTCTGTAAATGTGAATCTTAATTAGAAATAAGTCATGTTTGAAATACACTTAGAGATCTCGGGTGGCATCCTTGAAGCAACATGTTTAATTATGGAGCTCCTGAAATCAACGCAGTGATAATTCAGGTATGGTTTTCCTGAAAACAAATCAAATCTTAACCTTGTTCACATCAACACTGTTGAAGAACGATTATTTATTGCGGTCAAAGGGAGTTAGGCAACACATGAGAAGACCTGATACATTTCTCTCTGTAGGGGAAAAGCAGAAACACAGCCTCATTCCTTGCACAAAGAGTGTGTGTGTGGGGTGGCGGGGATAACCAGTTATAAGTAAAAAGGAGAAGCTTATGCTTATTCTGTCAAAGCTTAATCTTACACTAAGGTGTGGCAGTATTATGTAGGAGATGATTTTTCTTCAGGCTCATAATATCTTGGGCTGTCTTGGGTTAATCTAGTCCTTTTTCATTCATTCACTCCAAAAGGAACTGCCTCCTCCATGTGTGGAATTGAGACAGAAGCTGGGCGTACGGGCTAAAAGCAAACCTAACAAGCTCAGCCCTCTTGGTGCACACAAGTTAGTGCAGAGAAACAGACTTGGAAACAAGGCAGAATCTCAGTACCTTAGATTGTGGGAAGTGCATTCAGAAACATAACATTAAATTTATTAAAACATGAAGCATGGTAAAAAGAACAAAATAGATTGGAAGTAGTAGGGAGTGATTTGGGACAAGACATACAAGCAGAGGGAAGATCTCTCATTAGAAAGGTTATCTGTGGGATGAGACCAGTAGTAACTGGTTCTTGGAGAAGCAGCCTTCCAGGAAGGCAGAGTGACAAGCACAAAAGCCCTCAGATGCCCACGTATGTGGGAGACTAGTACATCACCAACAATAAGAGGGTAAAGAGCAGAGTAACCTGGGGCAAGGGGTCAGAAAGGAAGAGGCAGGGGGAAAGTACAAAGGGGTAATCAAAGACAACTTCAAAGACTTCAGCTCCTATGCTGTCCCATAAGACAGGAGCTCTAAAGGGTGCTGTGTGAAACAGGCATGTTACAAAATTCCAATTTTTATCCCACAAGGTTCACACTGGCTACTATTCGGAGCACAGACACAAGGCAGAGGCAGAGTTCAGGCAGAGGCAGGAAGACTGGACTGGAGACTCCACAAGAGAAGTGAGAGATAACACTAGGAAAGACCAGAGTAGATAAATAATAGAATTGACTCATAGTGGGTAGGTTCTGGGTTTTGAAAGACAAGCTGCCAGAATTTGCTGATGGATCACACGTAAGGCGCAGAAGACAATTTTTTAACTGTCCAAACAAATCTGTCAATGGAGCTGTGATTTATCCAAATGAGATTACTGAGTGGGCAACAATGAGAACTCTTGAGACGTAAGAGGCAGTGGAGATAACTAAATGCAGGTGCAGGAAAAGGGATGAGTCCACTGATGGAAGGCTCCCTTTCGAAGGGTGAGTAGATTATAGAGGGGATCTGAGAAGGAAGCTGGAAGAGGACATGGGTGAAGGATGCGATGTGCTCCTGGAAAATATTGTGTTAAATCCTGCAGGGAAAACTCCCCAAGGTCTCTATTCATTACAGGTAGCTTCTGCAAGGGGTGGTAAGTATTGCTAAGGGTTCCCTTGGCATGCTGAGCAGATGGCAGTAAGTGAATCATTTCCCATCCTTCAACTCAATATGTATTCCCACAAAAACTCACCTGGTAGGACCAATCTGGGAATCCTATCTGTCCCTATTTTTATTTCTCCCACTCCACTTCTCAAAGAAGGGCATATTTCCATTACCTTATCTCTTTTAATACATCAGTGCCTATGTGGATTAACTTAAATATTGAGGAAAAGGCACTTTCAAAAATTAGATGCGTTTTAAGTCTATAAAATTTTTGTTTCAAAAAAAATAAAGGAAAACTTAAAGTATTAGTTGCTATGTCTGATGAAAATAACATTACCTTTGACATAAAATCTGGAGGGAGTTGAAAGAATCAGATAACATTGCTTGAATAAAACGCCTATTATTAACACATGCATATCCTTCCATATCTATTTAAAAACAGCTAAGGAACTGAGGATAAAAATTGCATCTATTTCCCATTTCTATAAATAAAAAGCAGCCACCTGTGTATACACAAACTCATCAAAAACAAAATCCCGTACTTTGCACAGACATAGATCTCCAGTAAAATATGCTATGTAATAATTATTAATTAAAATTTTGAGGTCACTTTGATAAATTATCTATGAATGATCTTAAATCAATCTAGAGGAAAAATTTGAACATTTATTCTTTTATAAGAAAACCAAGAAAGAGTTACTAATAAAAGACTTTTGGACATAAGATTATACTAAAGTAACATAAAATTTTGCGCAGAAAGTTGAAAAAAATTAGGTAACAGGAAAAAAGTTTATATATCTGGCAATTGAAGAAGGGCTTGTTCATAGTTTATGATGGTATTTAAATTCCACTTAAAATAGAAACTGATGGTTTTATTTTTGGAGTCAATACTTACCATTTGACAAAGTGATGTGATTTGGAACAAATTAAATTTAGGTTGTTGATTCCAAGTTCAACGATTAGGAATGAAATACAGCATTCCCAGATCTTTTCGGAGGTCACTTGAGCAGAGCCTGAGATTTCCGGCTTAGGAATCCTCCATTGGACCGAGCTGTGCAGCTCTGGAGGGTGCAGGGGCCAGGGCATGTGCCCCTGCATGCTGGGGACTGGCTCTGGCACATGCTGTGAATGTCTAAAAGCCACTCTGCCTCTTCCCACTTGCATGGCCTAACTGGCTTTTGAAATGTCCTCAGATCACCTTGTAGTACAATACAAGCCTACCTTGAGCCCTCCCGTTACTCAGTATTTAACATTCAATCTCAGCCTAAGGGTTCAGTCAATTAGTAATTAGCAGGCTGCAGAGCAAGATACCCAACATTCTCTGCTAGCATGTGTGGGGTCAGGGGTGACATCCCAGGCTTCTCAGAGGCTCTCTGCTTTCCTTCAAGATTGAAGGCGAGCACCTAGGAAGTAAGAGAAAGTAGATTCATGGGCACAACCAACACCTTCTTTACTTACCATCTGCAGCCAAATATTTGTGGTTAAAACTTGGTTCTTCTCATCCTTAAAAAAAAAAGAACAAATGCAGCAGCATCAATATGGTTTACAAAAGTAGAAATGATTCATTATTCATGTAGAATCTGACTGTTGGGACCAGCACATTGTGTGTGGAAATTAGAATGCACCAAGCACTTCCAAATACATGCAAGCAGCATTTCCCCAGAGTTGAGCTTTTCTATTTATTCTGAAGTAATAGACATTTATTATAGAGCACTTACAAAACGCAGAAAAGAACAAAAAAGAAAATTAAAATCCTGCCATGATACCATCCAGAAATGATGCCTAGTAGTGATATGACTATTTATCTTTGCATAGTTTTATAATTAATATACCTAAGAAAATCACCAAATTGATGCAAATTCTAATTTTTGAAGTCACATCTAAGGAATGTATGCCCAGGAAAGGAACATGGACCCAGTCAAGGTGACACGGCTGTGTTGAGGATGCTGTCAGTACACGGCTTAGCTTTGTCCCTGTGGGTCCCAGATGTCTCTTCTCTTATCCTCCACCAATTATGCAGCAAGGAAAGAATTTGATTCATACCTGCAAAGTAATTGCTTATCCAAAAAGGATCAGAAAATGGAGGTGGAGCCAGTGCTATGGCACAGCATGCTACATTGCCATCTGCATGCTGCAATGCTAGCATCCCACAAGAGCACTTCGGAGCCAGCTCCCTCCTAATGTGGCTGGGAAAGCAGAAAATGGTCCAAGTGCTTGGTTCCTGACCATCCACGTGGGAGGCCTGGATGAAGCTCCTGTCTTCACCCTGACCATTAGAGGGGGAAATCAGCAAATGGAAAGGTTCCCTCACTCTCTCTTTTTCTAGTCCGGTCACAACTAATCTTTCCAAATGACAGGCAACTAGCATTTCATCAAAACCCATACACAAAGAGACACACGAGCAAGTTCTATGCAACAGTTTTACTTAGAACACTGCTATCAGTATTTAGCACTCAATCCCAAACTACAGAACTTGGTAAATCAGCCCTAATGCCCCCTTCAGGGAAAGGGAGCATTAGTGACTCTCAGAAGCTGCTATAATGAGGACGTGGCCAGCTTCTCCAAAGGGCAGTCACCAAATGAGGACTTGAGGGAAGAAAGCACAAGGTTCCTGCTGAGGCATGATCAGCAGGCAGGGAGGCAAAGAAGAAAGACTGCCTCTTGTTAAGAGAGAAATATGTGCAACATGTAACGAGTTGGCAGAGATGCTGGGCTTCAGTGATGCCCTGCTCAGCTGCTCCCACACTAGGCACGGGAGGGGTAAATACAGCCAGAGGGAGACAGACCCCACAGAGAGGACAGGGCTGCCCAGGGAGGGATGTGGAATGATATCCAGTTGGTACCAGTCTGGGGGCCATGTCCAGAAGAAGCTCTTTCTTTGGTTTGAAAAAATGCATTCCATATTCTAAAATAAACAAGCCAGGATTGTTCCATGTCAAAACATTGCAGGGCTCACATGCCATGGTGCTCTGTGTGGATTATATGTCCCAACAGAGTTTAACATCTAGACCACACCAGTGCCTCATTCCTGACTCACCTCCAGTATGATTGGGAAACTCTTGTGAAAGTCTTCTGGATGCACATCTGTTGCCTCAACTTACTAGAAAGTTATTTTAAATGAACTTAAAATTAGCAGGGGTTCCACCTAGGAGTCTTTGCTTCTTTTAATTGCATTTGTACTTCCTTTTCAGAGAGAATGGCTTCTGTGGTTTGGGAATCCAATTACTACAGATCTAATTAAAAGGTTTTCTCATTTCCAGTGTTCTAAAGGAAACCTTATTAGAATGACACTGAATTTCTGAGGTGTGTGACAGCATGGGACCAAGGTACAGCATACCTGTAACCAAAAGCCAGCAGCAGTCAGCTATCACCTGAGTGGGTATATACCAGGGAAGGGGGCCAGTTTCAGAGGCATCAGGAGACAAACCCCCACCATTCATAGGAAAGATCTCCTTTCCCACTTCCCCAACTGAACACACAGTCTCTCACTTCCCACCTGCAGTGTTCAACATATTACGCCTAGCCTCCCCCTCCTGATCCCCACGCCACACATATCCTCTGCTCACTTCCACAGGGGGTTTTCTGACCACTAACAGGGTCAAATAACCTTCTTCTTGCATCCCACAAAGGTTCAAGTCAAGGGTCCCTAGCACAATGCACAAACCCTAATTCAGATAACTTTGTATTCATTCACTCAACATTTATGGAGCATCTCCAGTTGCAGGAGTGATTTCAACCTAGTATGTACAGTGGAAGTTAATAACTTACTGAAGTACGTGGTGGAGGAAATAGGGGTAAAAGAGCAGGGGTGCATGATATAATCATGAAACACATATAACCACAAATGACAAAGGTCATAGGCCCTTGCAGGGTGGGGGTGACAGGGAGAGAGTTCACCCCGAGTGATGAGGCAGTTCAGAGGAAAGGCTTTGCTTCGACATAATATGATTTTGGAACACCACAATGCATTCATGTCCTCACTCAGCCTTGTATACACCACCTCTGAGTCCTTGTGTAGAACCCTACTTTCCAAGGCTGTAGGCAGGTGTTCCCAGCTCTGGCTTTCTTTGCCTAAGTTAGAATGCAACCACTCTCACCTCAAGACAGTCTCTAGAGAACCAGACAGCTCTCCACAGGCCCCTCTCCTGTAAAACACAGACATGCTGACCAGTACACTCACACCTTCTGCCCTGTGCTGCCCCCAAGGCAGTCCTTTCCCCATCCATGCCCAGCTCCAGCCCCACCTTGATCTCTACTTCCTGACCATCTTATGCACACAGGACCCTGAGCATCCAGGCACAAGAGCCACGCTGCTTTCAACTTCTGGACCTCCAGCTTTACACATCACTTTATAAGCTCAGAAAAAAATGAGAGACATGCAGATGTGACCAAGTATCTGAGGTTGGAAAGCCTGCTAAAGGGACAGCTGTATATACCTGTCTCTTTGGCATTGGGTACACATTCAGGGCAGTGCATCACGCAGAGCCTACCTAGGCACAAGTTTCAGCTCCTCGATCCAAAATATAAACTTTCTTCTCCAGAGAAATGTCCTCTGCTGATCCTCAAACTGTCTGCCTCCCACGCAGAATCTGAACTCTTAAAATCATGATTCAACAGTCACGAGCTGGAAGCCATCCTGGTCAGTCTCTGAGAACACTGAGGGGGAGGAGGTTGTCATTTCCAAACCCTAGGCCAAGGATCTCTGCATGAGTAACACAGGGCCGCCCCATGAAGAACAGCACTACATAGGTGCCCCTGCAGTCAGAGCCGGCCCAGCAGTAATGTTGTCAAGAAAGGCTGTGCACTGTGAAGTTTATAAACAGAGATGGACTTCCCACAGATCTGGAGGCTGTGAGTTTGAAGCCCAAGGTGCTGGCATGGTTGAATTCTGGTTTCTGGTGAGAGCCCTCTGGTTCACAGGTGGCCACCTTTCCACTGTGTCTTCACACAGGAAGGGACAGAGGGGCTCTCTGGGTTCTCCCTACACAAAAGCCCTAATTCCATTCTCAGGGCTCTACCTCACAGAGACTCCCAGCGTCTAGCATAAGCCTGTTAAGGGTGGTCAGCATTTGAGTACCTGAAGTTCAGAACACGAATGAAGTAGCATTTCAGTAATTCTGGGTGCTCAGGTTGCTGTCTGGCTATCACTGCCTTGCCCACACCCAGCAGAAGGCGAGCAGGGAGCTCTCCGCAGGGAGACGGCCCCTGGGCCTCAGGCTCAGCTCCCTGATTAGCAGGGACTGGCTTTCTGTGGGGTTCAATGGTCTTTCCTGGGACCATGGACAATAACAGTAGTCCCTGTTGCCTTCCAAAGACTGGAGTAGGGGAGGGAAGGTGAAGGGCAACCTCTTACGAAACGTTGCTTGACACTAGCAGCTGTCATCACAGCTGCCTGCGCATACAACTCCCAGACAAGACTTGGAAAACCCCAACCCTCAAGGAACGACACAACCAAACATGGCAAAGCATCCCAAAGTCAGCAAACCTGACTCACCTTGCTCCTTTTTAACCCAAGCACTACAGTTCAGCATACAGTTTGATTTACTTGAACATGCTTTTAATTTCACTCTCTCTGAATCATCACGAATCTGATTTAGGGCAGTTTCACTGTTCTGATGATAAATAACATGTTATCTAGCATTTTGGCAGCAATTGTTCTTTAGGAAGTTATCAGCAGGCATTATTTTATGGAACTTCACTTTCTTTTAGCTTTTGTACACATACTGAGAAAAATAAATAGAGAATGACAGATACAGTACATTTAAAATTCTTGTTTGCACAGGAAATTATTGGATGACATACATTCATATTTACATAGGCTCTCCAGTTAACAAAGATGAATTCTTTCATCTAATTTAATCTTTACATCAATCATATTTTTCATCCTGGTTATACATGAAGGAACTAGGATCCTCCCTGAATTAGAAAGATATTCAATCTAATGAAAAGATTCATTTCCAAAATAAAAAATAAACTCACAAATCAACTCAAAGAAGGCAGACAACCCAAGAGAAAAATGGTCAAAATATGAACATACACATTACCACAGAAGCGATCAGTAAACAGTATTTCAAAATAACATGGCTAATCCCTAAGCAGAGTTTTCATTCCTCTAAATGTTGTGTACACAGACACACATGCACATCACAAATACTTTTCAAACTGTTATGGCCTTGAGAAAATGCAACAAATTAGGTCTATTATTTTTATTACATGTTAGGATAGCATCTAAATGCAATTGTATGATCGTCTCTTCTGTTTGCTGTGAGCATGTATTACCTTCATAATCTAGGGTACAGGGTATATATAAATATATCAATTGTGGAACAAAACAGAATATTTTTCCAGCTCTAGGTCTCACGGCTAAATATAGAAGCTGAGATCCAACTCCTGATACTTGTGCTTTGAATCACAAACCCCTCCTGTTCCCAAGTGTGACAGTTTGATTCTGACAGTGGACATGGATTCCCCTGGGTATTGTCCAGAAGTTCTCAGGTCTAGCC